GTGGGTGGGTTGCAAGCATCATCGGTCATCGGCGCTCGCGAATGAAGAGCGCCCGCTGCACTTCCTGCACATGTGCGGATCCCTCCGCGTTTTGAGGCTAGAAGCGCTCGTTCCGAGCGTTTTTCTTCCGCCGTGTCACATGGCTGCGCTTGTCTGGGCCTATTGCCAAGCCAGCAATGGCGTGGGAGGGTTGCGAGCATCATTGGTCATCGGCGCTCGCGAATGAAGAGCGCCCGCTGCACTTCCTGCACACGTGCGGATCCTTCCGCGTTTTGGGGCTGGAAGCGCTCCTTCCGAGCGTTTTTCTTCCACCGAGTTACGTGGCTGCGCTTGTCTGGGCCTATTGACAAGCCAGTAAGGGCGTGGGTGGGTTGCAAGCATCATCGGTCATCGGCGCTCGCGAATGAAGAGCGCCAGCTGCACTTCCTGCACATGTGCGGATCCTTCCGCGTTTTGGGACTGGAAGCGCTTGTTACGAGCGTTTTTCTTCCGCCGAGTCACGTGGCTGCGTTTGTCTGGGCCTATTGCCAAGCCAGCAAGGGCGTGGGTGGGTTGCGAGCATCATTGGTCATCGGCGCTCGCGAATGAAGAGCGCCCGCTGCACTTCCTGCACACGTGCGGATCCTTCCGCGTTTTGAGGCCAGAAGCGCTCGTTCCGAGCGTTTTTCTTCTGCCGGGTCACATGGCTGTGCTTGTCTGGGCCTATTTCCAAGCCAGCAAGGGCGTGGGAGGGTTGCAAGCATCATTGGTCATCGGCGCTCGCGAAATAAGAGCGCCCGCTGCACTTCCTGCACACGTGCGGATCCTTCCGCGTTTTTAGGCCGGAAGCGCTCGTTCCGGGCGTTTTTCTTTCACCGGGTCACATGGCTGCGCTTGTCTGGGCCTATTGCCAAGCTAGCAAGGGCGTGGGAGGGTTGCGAGCATCATTGGTCATCGGCACTCGCGAATGAAGAGCGCCCACTGCACTTCCTGCACACGTGCGGATCCTTCCGCGTTTTGGGGCTGGAAGCGCTCCTTCCGAGCGTTTTTCTTCCACCGGGTCACGTGGCTGCGCTTGTCTGGGCCTATTGACAAGCCAGTAAGGGCGTGGGTGGGTTGCAAGCATCATCGGTCATCGGCGCTCGCGAATGAAGAGCGCCAGCTGCACTTCCTGCACATGTGCGGATCCTTCCGCGTTTTGAGGCCAGAAGCGCTCGTTCCGAGCGTTTTTCTTCCGCCGGGTCACATGGCTGCGCTTGTCTGGGCCTATTGCCAAGCCAGCAAGGGCGTGGGAGGGTTGCGAGGGTCATTGGTCATCGGCGCTCGCGAATGAAGAGCACCCGCTGCACTTCCTGCACATGTGCGGATCCTTCCGCGTTTTGAGGCTAGAAGCGCTTGTTCTGGGCGTTTTTCTTCCGCAATGTCACATGGCTGCACTTGTCTGGGCATATTGCCAAGCCAGCAAGGGCTTGGGAAGGTTGCGAGCATCATTGGTCATCGGCGCTCGCGAATGAAGAGCGCCCGCTGCACTTCCTGCACATGTGCGGATCCCTCCGCGTTTTGAGGCTGGAAGCGCTCGTTCCGAGCGTTTTTCTTCCGCCGGGTCAAGTGGTTGCGCTTGTCTGGGCCTATTGCCAAGCCAGCAAGGGCTTGGGTGGGTTGCAAGCATCACCGGTCATCGGCGCTCGCGAATGAAGAGCGCCCGCTTCACTTCCTGCACATGTGCGGATCCTTCCGCGTTTTGGGGCTAGAAGCGCTCGTTCTGTGTGTTTTTCTTCCGCCGGGTCACCAGGCTGCGCTTGTCTGGGCCTATTGCCAAGCCAGCAAGGGCGTGGGTGGGTTGCAAGCATCATCGGTCACCAGGCTGCACTTGTCTGGGCCCATTGCCGAGCCAGCAAGGGCTTGGGTGGGTTGGAAGCATCATCGGTCATCGGCGCTCGCGAATGAAGAGCGCCCGCTGCACTTCCTGCACATGTGCGGATCCTTCCACGTTTTGGGGCTGGAAGCGCTCGTTCTGAGCGTTTTTCTTCCGCCGGGTCACCAGGCTGCGCTTGTCTGGGCCTTTTGCTAAGCCAGCAAGGGCGTGGGTGGGTTGCAAGCATCATCGGTCATCGGCGCTCGCGAATGATGAGCGCCCGCTGCACTTCTTGCACATGTGCGGATCCTTCCGCGTTTTGGGGCTGGAAGCACTCGTTCGGAGCGTTTTTTTTCTACCGGGTCACCTGGCTGCGCTTGTCTGGGCCTATTGCCAAGCCAGCAAGGGCGTGGGAGGGTTGCGAGCATCATTGGTCATCAGCGCTCGCGAATGAAGAGCGCCCGCTGCACTTCCTGCACATGTGCAGATCCTTCCCCGTTTTGGGGCTGGAAGCGCTCGTTCGGGGCGTTTTTCTTCTACCAGGTCACCTGGCTGCGCTTGTCTGGGCCTATTGCCAAGCTAGCAAGGGCGTGGGTGGGTTGCGAGCATCATCGGTCATTGGCGCTCGCGAATGATGAGCGCCCGCTGCACTTCTCCTGCACATGTGCGGATCCATCCGCGTTTTGAGGCTAGAAGCGCTCGTTCTGAGCATTCTTCTTCCGTTGGGTCACCAGGCTGCGCTTGTCTGGGCCTATTGCCAAGCCAGCAAGGGCTTGGGTGGGTTGCAAGCATCATCGGTCATCGGCGCTCACGAATGAAGAGTGCCCGATGCACTTCCTGCACATGTGCGGGTCCTTCCACGTTTTGGGGCTAGAAGCGCTCGTTCCGAGCGTTTTTCTTCCGCCGGGTCACGTGGCTATGCTTGTCTGGGCCTATTGTCAAGCCAGCAAGGGCGTGGGAGGGTTGCGAGCATCATTTGTTATCAGCTCTTCCGCTGGGTCACGTGGGTACGCTTGTCTGGGCCTATTGCCAAGCCAGCAAGGGCGTGGGAGGGTTGCGAGCATCATCGGTCATCGGCGCTTGCGAATGAAGAGCGCCCGCTGCACTTCCTGCACATGTGCGGGACGCCAGCAAATTTACTCGGGTGCATAAAATTGCAAAGCGGGCGGGGATTTCTTCACATGCCCGTGCTCTCCATAGCCCTTCGCACCTTCAGCGATGATTCCGACTCGTAAAGCACACACGCGGAATGCATACATCCAAGACCGGGCCCCTCCTAGGCGATTCGGGCAATCTTCCCCCCCAACACGCCAGCAAACCCACTCGGGTGTAGAAAATTGCAAAGCGTGCGGGAATTTCTTCACATGCCCGTGCTCTCCATAGCCCTCCGCACCTTCAGCGACGATTCCGGCTTGAAAAGTGCACTAACTGGGTATGCATACCTCCGAGACCGGTCCCCTCCTAGTCGATTCGGGCAATCTTCCCCCCCAAAACGCCAGCTAACCCAATCGGGTGTAGAAGATTGCAAAGCGGGAGGAAATTTCTTCACATACTCATGCCTCCATAGCCCTTCGCACCTTTAGCGACGATCCCGACTCGAAAAGCGCACAAACGCGGAATGCATACCTCCGTGACCGGGCCCCTCCTAGGCGATTCGGGCAATCTTCCCCCCTAAAACGCCAGCAAACCCACTCGGGTGTAGAAAATTGCAAAACGGGCAGGGATTTCTTCACATGCCCGTGCTCTCCATAGCCCTCCGCACATTCAGCGACGATTCCGGCTTGAAAAGCGCACAGACGCGTAATGCATACCTCCGAGACCGAGCCCCTCCTAGGCGATTCGGGCATTATTCCCCCCCAAAACGCCAGCAAACTCGGGTGTAGAAAATTGAGAGAAGACACACACACACACACACACACACACACATACACACATACACACACACATACACACACACACACGCATACACACACACACATGCATACACGCATGCGCACGAGCGCGCATGCACACACACACATGTGCACATACACACACACACACAAACACACGCACACACGTGTGGAGACATCGGGACAGGGGGGACATGCGGACAGGGGGGGCATACAGACAGGGGGACTTGGGGAGAGGGGGACTTGGGGACTGGGGGACATGGGGACAAGAGGACAGGGAAACATGGGGACATGGGAACAGGGGAACATGGGATGGGGACTGGGGGACATGGGAACAGGGGGGCACGGGGACAGGGGGGCAAGGGGGCATTGGGACATGGAAACATTGAGACAGGGGGACATGCGTACGGGGGCATGGGGACAATGGGGCACGGGGACATGGGGACAGGGGAACATGCGGACAGGGGGAAATGGCGAAGGGGGACATGGGGACAGGGGGGCATGGGGTCATGGGGACAGGGGGGCATGGGGTCATGGGGACAGGGGGAAATGGGGCATTGGGACAGGGGGACATGAGGACAGGGGGGCATGGGGACAGGGGGGCAAAAAGACATGGGGACATGGAGACAGGGGGGCATGGGGGCATGGAGACAGGGGGACAGGGGGACAGGGAGACATTCACTCACTCGGTCACTCCTTGACTCTCAAACTGATGCACTCACACATTCACACTCTCACAAACTCTCACTCACACATTCAATCTTTTACTCACGCTCAGTCACTCATTCACTCACTCCGTTGCTCACACTCACAATCACTCACTCTTACAATAACACAGAGAGGGGGGGGGCGCCGCCGGTGTTGGGTGTGAGGGGGAGGCGACGTGAGGGCAGGCGACATGAGGAGCAGGGAATGTGAGTGAGTTTGAGTGAGCGAAGTGTTAGTGAATGTCTGCAAGTGTGTGCGTGTGCGAGTGTATAAGTGATGCTTGTGGGTGCGAGTGATTGAGTATACGCAAGCATGTGCGTGTGAGTACAGTGAGTGCGAGTGAGTGCAAGTGAGTGCAAGTGTGTGCAAGTGTGTGCAAGTGTGTACTGAGTGTGTGCAGTTGAGTGAGTGTATACCTTTGGCTGGCTTGGGCGGCTTCGTCCCTTTCTGCGCCAACCATTTTCCCCCTGCTGCCGATCTACTGGCCCCAGCTGCCGATCCACTGGAACCGCTGGCAGGAGCGTTGGATCCACCTGCGTCTGACCGTCCGCCGCTGTGAAAAACACCTAAAAAGGTTTGAAGTTTTGGAAGAGAGACAAGGGGAGAGGGGAGGAGGGGGAGGAGGGGAGCGCAGGGCGAAATCGGGGCGAAAGCGGGATGAGAAACGGAGGAGAAAGCGGGGAGGAGAGGGTGAGTGACATGGAGTGGTGGGGCATGCAGCACGGCACGGCATGCCTCTGGGCGCGGGGGGGATGCCGACGAGGTCGAACTGCCCCAGCAGCTTGTTGCCTGCCGCCATCTCCCTCCCCCCCTGGAGCACCTTGATGCCCACCTGCGTCTGCCCGTCCGCCGCTGTGAAAAACACCTGAAAAAGGTCCGAATATTTGGAGGAGGAGAGAGAGGGGGATAGGGGAGGAGGGGGAGGAGGGGAGAGCAGGGCGAAAACGGGGCGAAAGCGGGTGAGAAACGGAGGAGAAAGAGGGGAGGAGAGGGTGAGTGGCATGGAGTGGGGCATGCAGCACGGCACGGCATGCCTCTCCCTCGCTCTGCGCATTCCTCTGAATCGTCGCCCCTGCCAGCTCGAGCAGCCGCTGCTGCGTCGCCACGTCAGCTGCTGACGCGGGCGTGGGTGGCGCTGACGTGGCACCTGGTAAGGGTTCAAAGAAAGAGCGGACAGAAGGGGGGTGAGGGGCGGAAAAGTATATCCGCCGTGCACAGTCACGACTGCCGTGACAGCCTGCAGATCCGTGCACGCCTGGTTGGGAGGGAGGGGCTCAACACTTCGATTGAGCGGTGTATCTTGGTTCAGCCGACTCTCTCCCTCACCAAAACTCGAAAACCGATGCACCAATAAATTCGAAACTCTAAAGAACGCCTGTCCATTCTCCACGATAGCTTTGAATCAGCATCTCGTAGTGCGTATTAGAAAGAAACTCACCGATCTGCAGCGCAGAAAGTAAATCTGGTTAAAAACGCCTGCTAACTCGTCTCCGACTGGCGGAATGCGACGGATCTGCGTGAAAATGCTAACTTCTAAGACACTACGAGAGAGAATGTGTTGAGAATGCGTTGTGTGGTGTGGCGAGGTGCAAGCGTGCTTGCGAGTTGGCATACTAATTCCAAGGGACGTCGACATCGTGAATCGATGCGAACCAATCAAGGCAAATCGCGAGAGAGAGAGAGAGAGAGAGAGAGAGAGAGAGAGAGAGAGAGAGAGAGAGAGAGAGAGAGAGAGAGAGAGAGAGAGAGAGAGAGAGAGAGAGAGAGAGAGAGAGAGAGAGAGAGAGAGAGAGACAGAGAAAGAGAGAGAGAGAGAGAGAGAGAGAGAAAGAGAGAGAGAGAGAGAGAGAGAGAGAGAGAGAGAGAGAGAGAGAGAGAGAGAGAGAGAGAGAGAGAGAGAGAGAGAGAGAGCTAAGCCCGAGAGCGGAGCACGCGTTGAGCTGGCGTCGTGGTGTGTTAGCCTGCTAACTCCAAGGTGGGACCTTTGTGAATTTAGGAGCGCGGTGAAACGGATGGGAGCCGATCGTACACGATACAAGTGGTGGTACATTTGGGAGTGTGTAGTTTCGATTAGAGTTCGATTTCTACGTTTCGACAATGAAAATCGAACCCTAAGAAAGTTCACTTTTTGTTCACTGTCTAATTCAAAGCGGTTCAGTACCTTTCTGTGCAATCGGAAGCGGTTGCTTCACATCTCGAACCATGAACAAAAAAAATCCCATGTCCCACACAACTAGATTTGGATTCTGGATTTGGACATCTGACACATTTCAGCGTCCTCGCATTGGACGAGGCGCGGGCGAGGGACGAACAAACGAGGCCCTCCGCGCTCGTGCCACGTCCGTGCAGGCGGAGGTGCGCGCGTCGTTCAAGGCGCCTCAAAAGGCGGCGACGATGGTGGGCGGCGCTGCTCTCCGCTAGGGACGAGGCGCGGGCGGCATGCTAGCGTCCTGCCTAGTTCATGCGCGCGGAGGAAAAAAAATCAGGATCAGAAATACACGAAAATTGCGACTGTTTTTTTTTTGTGTGCGCGGAAGTGCACGCACAGGAGCTCGCCGCGCTGCCCTCCGCTGCAACGAATGACGCGCGGTCGCCAGGTGAGGTGGACGAGGGGGGTGCGGGGAGGGGAGGGCGCGTTGGGGAGGAGGAAGATGGGGAGGAAAGGGCGCAATGGGGAGGGGGGAAGGTCGCGGCGCTGCCCTTCACCGCGTCGGACGTGGGTGCATGTTTGCCCTCGCCCCCACACCTCTCCGCTTTTCGTGCTCACTCCCTCTTCTCCCTCCCGCCGACCCCTCCCCTCCGTCACCTTCCCCCCTTCCTCCCCACCACACCTCTCTGCCCGCCTCTCTCCTGCCCACTTCCCCGCACCCACCTCCCCCCTCTATCCGTCCTACCCTCCACCCTTCACCTTCCCCCTTCGCCCATTGCCCAACCCCTTCTGGCCCTTGCCAGAGTGGGAGCAGCTGCAGCACGCACATGACGCGGCATGCCATGGGGTTTGTGCAACCAGGGCAGCTTGAACCGCCACCTCTCTCCCCCCTGCCTCACTCCTTTCCATTACCCCACCTCCCCCTGCCTGGCTACCTGATCCGCCCCTAACCCCCACCAGGGGGGTAGCACAAGGTGCGGCGTGCCATGGCGTTTGTGCAACCAGGGGAGGTCCACCCGCCACCTCTCTCCCCCCTGCCTGACCCCACTCCTTTCCATTACCCCCCTTCCCCTGCCTGGCTACCCTATCCGCCCCTAACCCCCTCCAGGCGGGTAGTAGCAAGCACAAGGTGCAGCGTGCCCTGGCGTTTGTACAACAGGGGCTGACCCACACACTCCCTCCCCCCCCCCCCCGCCCCCTTTTCTGGTGGGGTCTGAAAATTCCAAAAAACACTCCCCTCTCCCCCCACCGCTCCCCGCCCCCATGCTGGCAGCAGCAACCACAAGGTGCAGCGTGCCATGGCGTGTGTACAACAGGGGCTGACCCCCCCCGGCTGACGTGCAGGCTTTGCACAGAAAGGAATTGTTGGAGAGGCGGAACTGAGAGGGGGGCGGGGAGAGGGGGCAAGCTGTGGGAGATAGAAGCACAGCGGGCAGGGCTGCCAGTGGTGGCGAGGGAGGGCGAAGGGATGGAGGCCGCGTGGAGCAACAATGCTGTGTGCTGCGAGACGGGGTCAGGGAAAACTTTCAGTATCAAAGAAGCTCCTCAGGTGAGTGCGGTGTGGGGGGAAGGCCAGGTGAGTGCGGTGTGGGGAAGGGCAGGTGCGTGCGGTGTGGGGGAAAGAGCAGGTGCGTGCGGTGTGGGGGAAAGGGCAGGTGCGTGCGGTGTGGGGGAAAGAGCAGGTGCGTGCGGTGTGGGGAAAAGGGCAGGTGCGTGCGGTGTGGGGGAAAGAGCAGGTGCGTGCGGTGTGGGGGAAAGGGCAGGCGCGTGCGGTGTGGGGGAAAGTGCGGGTTATTGCGGTGTGGGGAAGGGCAGGTGCGTGCGGTGTGCGGAAGGGCAGGTGAGTGCGGTGTGGGGAAGGGCAGGTGCGTGCGGTGTGGGGAAGGGCAGGTGAGTGTGGTGGGGGGAAGGGCAGGTGAGTGTGGTGGGGGGAAGGGCAGGTGAGTGTGGTGCGGGAAAGGGCAGGTGAGTGTGGTGGGGGGGAGGGCAGGTGAGTGTGGTGGGGTGGGAGAGGTACATGGGGCCAGCCCTGCCAGCCTTGTGTGCGGCAAGGCGGAGTCGGGCAAGGCGGGGTCGGGCAAGGCGGGGTCGGGCAAGGTGGGGTCGGGCAAGACCATGCAAGTGCCCCAGGTGCGTGCAGTGGTGGGGGAAGGACAGGTGTCATGAGATTTTAATCATGCAGATTCAGTAATTGTTTCACGTTTTGTACGTGAGCAGTCGGTGCATGCTTTTATATCATTATAATTTTTAAACACACATTGTGTTTTTTAAAATTGTGTATTGTGAAAGCGAAGCTGCTTGTACTGCACAATTGGCATCGTCGAAGCGCGCTAAACGCCCTTCTCCAACTACAAAAACCGTGGGTTGGAGTTCATTTCCCTCCACCCACGTTTCTCGATTTTCAAACGGCTCACTCAACATTTTCCGCTCACGTAGTTTATCCCTCCGTCCAAGCTGGCTAGAACAAAATCGCTTCCTAGAGGCGAGTCACCTTCGACTTTACTCAACGACATTTTTAACTTCAATCGCTCAACGATGGCACCGACGCCGACACTTAACAACGGGAACTCGTCCAACCCTGCCTCCGACAACGACCGTAACACCCGCGATTTGGCGGGCGAACGCCGTAACAAGCGACGGGCAGAAGATGGACCGCCCGCCCCAACTGCAGTGGACGTGCTGCTGGGCGGGCTCGAGGTCAACAAATCGGCCAACGCCCAGCAGCACCCTTCGGCGCCAGTGGCGCCAGTGGCGCCTGAGGCGCCTGTGGCGCCAGTGGCACCTGCGGAGCAAGTGGCGACGGCCGCTGGCGCGGCACACGCCACTGACGCCGAGCACACGCCAGCACCCGCGGCTGGACCGTCGCGTCAGCGCCAGAGGAGGCGGACGGCGGTCTCCTCCTCTGACGCGACGACCGCCCCTGCATTGACGCAGGCGTTGACCCCGGACCAGGTCAACGCGCTGCTGTCCCTTCTACAGCAGCAGCCCGTCAGCGTTACAGCCGCGGAAACTGCACTACCCGCTGCATCTGCGTCGGCTAAAAAAGAAAATACGAAAAAGGAAAAAGGTGCGCGAGGAGCAAGGACGAATCGGCACGACAACGACGCAGCAACAGCAGCACCCCCCGCTCCAGCGGTCGACAACGACACCGACGACTCTGAAGATGAAGCCGGTGAGGCTCCAGTCAACAATGTTATTTTTAATGGCACGGAACACCTTCCCCCCCCTCCCTTCTTCTAACCTCACATTTTCGGCGGCAACATTCGTCAACGACTCCGTGCGAGAGCAAGCGGAGCTGCTGGAGGACTTGCGCGCGTACCTGCTACACGCGGAATACAAGGCGCAGCGCGGAGACCCAGCGGGCGGACTCGAACTCATCTCGCACGCTCTCAACCTCATCTCGGGGCGTTTCGAGGTGCTTCAAGTGGAGGACGCCTCCGACTTCCGCACGGCGAAGCGCTTCAAGTTGTACCAGCAGAAGAGCCTGCTGACTTCTCGACCCTTCAAGCAGGCGGTCGCGGACATGGCGGCGATGGACCGTGCAGCAAGCGGATATGCTCGTGTCAACAGCGGCGGAAACAACGCGCCGTTGCCGTTTTTACCCAAGCGGGGCCCCCCACCCACGGCCAATTGCCGCGGGTTTCGGGGCTCGTGCTTCCGCTGTGGCCAGCCGGGCCACGTGGCAAGTGCCTGCCCTAGGAACGGGCATGGCGGCCAAGGACCCGCTCCGGTGGTGTAGGAGCGGGCCATGGGAATAGGCGCTTGAGCGCTAGGCACGGTGCACTCTTGAGTGCGAAAACCGTGGGCAGCCCTAGGGGTTTGCGATGGCAAGAGGCCAGCCCTAGTGAAGGGTAGGAATAGGCTTTGGGCCTAGGATAGGGAAGGGGAACAACAACCCCCTCGGTCCCATGTAGTTGGCCACGCGGTGGCGTGATGCATGCTAGGAGAGGATTGCTATGTGTGTTGGTTGATTTAATAAAAACTACCTTCTTAAAAGCCTCCTGTTTTTGGCAAATAGACTCTGAAACAATCAAGAGGAGGAGCAGAGAGAGAGAGAGAGAGAGAGAGAGAGAGAGAGAGAGAGAGAGAGAACGAGAGAGAATAAGAGAAACACAATGGACAAGTGTGTCCATGGCCATAGGCATCAGCTCCCATGCACTAAGGGCAGGCACAACCACACCCTACCGAGTGCACGACGGGGCGAGAGAGAGAGAGAGAGAGAGAGAGAGAAAAAAAAAAAAAACAAAACAAAAACAAGAGGAGGAAACGAGGAGAAGAAGAAGCGCCGTTTCGCGCCCGACACATTCGTTGACATTTCCTTCGGTTTTTTTTTTTTCTTCACACGTTTGATCAATGGCTGCCCGTACATGTACATGCACACTCATGCTTTAACATGGAATACTCAACCCGTATACCACTTGGCCTCAAATGTACAGGAGCACGACGGTGCGAGGCGGCATGCTACGACGACCCGTACGAATTTGCCGTTACAGACAGAACTATTACACAGATGCGCGGTCGTCTTCGCGCTACCTTTGCGTGGTAGAGCTCATGGTGCCATAGCAGCCTCGTCCTCTCCGTCATCGCCAAGGGTTATTGGTTGCCATGGAGCCACGGCCCACCACAACCTTTCCACGATCGCAATCATGTCGGGGCAAACACGCATGCCACATTCACACGTACCGCCATCCAAGAACTCATAGAGACGGGAGCGGCAGTTCCGATGGCCGCAACAGAGCTGAAGTGTATAAGTCCACTCAACGTGGTCGAGCAAAAAGACAAATGCAGGCTCATTCTTGATCTGAGGAAAGTCAACGCCAACTTGATTGTCCCCAAGTTCAAGTACGAGGGGCTCAGTCGTGTCGCCGACCTGGCGCGCGTTGGGGACTGGATGTTCTCCATTGACCTCAAATCTGGTTACCATCACATCGACATCCACCCATCGTGCTGGAAGTTCCTTGGCTTCGAATTCGATAGGCGCACATACGCATTTCGTTCACTACCATTCGGCCTCGCGACGGCTCCATTCGTCTTCACACAGCTCATCAAGCAACTAGCTCGGCGTTGGCGAGAACAAGGCATCCGAGTCGTACCTTACGTGGATGACATCTTATTTCTCTGCCAGTCGAAAGCCGATGCGCAAGCAATTTGCCAGCGGGTGATATTGGACCTTAAAGAGGCAGGCCTTGTGATAAACGCGAAGAAATCACAACTATCACCATCGCAACATCTCCGATTCCTGGGTTTAGAACTGGAGACCGACACCGGCCGATTCTCCATCGGTCCCGACCGACGAGCCTCACTACATGCAACCATCCGGAACCTCCTGAGCGCAAGCAGGGCATGCCGACCAGTCCCGGTCCGCCAAGTGGCCAGAATCACTGGCATGCTTGCATCGATGGGTGTCGCACTTGGCGCGACCGCTCGCGCATTCAGCCACGCTATGTTACAAGTGATCAACGAAGCACCGTCATGGAAAAGCAGCGTGGTTATCCCCCCATTTGCAGCAGAGGAGCTCCAATTTTGGCTCGAGGAGTTTGACCGTTTCAACGGCGCACCTTTTCACGTCAGGAACAGCTACGACGCGGTAATCCATGTGGATGCCAGCTCTCATGGTTGGGGCGCCACTCTGACCACATTTCCGGGCGGCCTCGAAGAAGCTAGCGCAACCATGTCAGAGCCGCTACGAGGAACGTCCAGCACGCGACGGGAGATCGAAGGCGTCCTTTGGGCGCTCCAAACATACGCGAACAAGATCAAGCAAAAACACGTTCTCGTGCGGGTGGACAACCAGGGCGTATTCTTCATCCTTCGCAAAGGCGGCTCTCACAGCTCCGACCTCACAACGGCATGCAAGAGCATCATCCGAACATGCATGGAGCTCGGCACACGCTTGATCATCGAATGGATTCCGCGCGAGCTCAATACACACGCCGACGAACTTTCAAAAATGGTCGACCACGACGATTACGCGCTGAAAACGCCGTGGTTCCGCATCTTGGAACGTCGTTGGGGGCCCCACTCCATCGACCTCTTCGCAAACGCCCGCAACACCCAACTGCCGCGCTTCTGTACAAAGATTCCCCACCCGGAAGCCATCGCAGTTGATGCGTTCTCGATCGCGTGGACACCCGAAAACAACTTCGCCTTCCCCCTGCCCCAACTGGTCCCAGCCGTCCTCCATCACGCACAACGCACCCATGCATCACTCACACTGATAGTTCCGCACTGGCCAGGCGCAAGCTGGTGGCCACTTTTGCAATCCTCCCCATGCACTTGGGCTCCACACATCCACGCGCACATCCCTCTGACACACGGAAGCCAATGCCTAGACGCAGGGTCCCATTCCAATGCTTTTTCAGGCATGGGACTACCGCATAGCCCAATTATTGCACTGAGAGTGGCATTCGACTAATTCAAAATGTCTACGCCTTGTGTTCAGATTTGCTCCCAAAGTTATACGACCAAATGATTAACATGCTCGCGCAGTCTCGCGCCGATTCTACGATCCGGACATACGAACCATACTGGGCCAAGTTTCGAGCCTTCTGCACAAAAGTGAACCTCCCATTTCTTCCGGCATCCGACATGACCCTCGCGCTCTACCTGGTACACGCAATCCGACGCAAAGCCACCCTGTCCGTAGTGCAGCTGACGTGCTCGGCGGTCAGCTTCGCTCATCGCATGACTGGGAGCAAATGCCCGACAACCGGACCGTTCACCACCCAAGTCCGTGACTGTGCAAAACGGCACTGCCCTCGCCCTACTCGTATGAAGGAACCCGTATCGATCCAACAAGTCCGGAACATGGCCGCGAGTTACTTGCAGTCCGACGATCCCGCGACGTTTCAGAAAGGGTTGATCCCCATCCTCATGTACTCAGGATTCCTGCGATATTCTGACCTAGTAGCCATAAAATGGCAAGACCTCCAATTCGACGACGAGGTCATGTGGATTCTCATACCACACTCCAAGACCGATCAGGCTGGTCATGGCACTTGGATACCCATTGCAGCAACGGCAGACCCCAGTTGCCCAGTGCGCTGCACCCGACGCTTCATCCAACTGGCCGGCTATGGCCCACGGTCAGAGGGACCATTGATTCGGGTCTTCGGCCACGCTTCAACCTGCGAGGGCCAGGCAAGGCCACCTTCATACACCACGAT